TCCTGTGGGGAACTGTGCATGGTAACTTACTCAACTGTACACCACAAGCACAAGCCCTGTAGGTTATTAAATAGAACACTGGGATTGTGGTTAAAATAGCAATAAAAGCTGGGACCATCCCAGCTCCACTATCACACAAGTATGGAATCTTACTCAAGCCACTATCCTTTCCACCTGTTTATGGTCCTTCAGTGGGAAATCCAAGAACCTGGGTTTGGAGTCAGATCCGTGAATTCTTTCCAGTTGCACTTCTGATTGGAAAAGCTTTTCAGGCAAAAATATTAGGTGGGGAGGTGGGTGGGGGTCTAATGACTAGATAGGGTAAACCATGAATAATTTTTAGTATACGAATGCTTGAGGCAATATTTGGGGCATATTTATACTAATGATTTGTTACCGATTCAGAATTCAAATCTGATAGGCATTATTTTACCTGGCAACTCTGCAGCATGGAAGATAACCATTCTAATGATTATTTTGTTTCTACAAATTGGGTTAGATAAGTAGGGCATTTTAGTAGAAAATAGACTGACAGTTGTAAAGATAGCGGCTGAGTAGCTTGTTTGGTACTTAAGCAGCTCGGGGTGGGAAAAGTATCTCTTTTTCTTTTTTGCCAAGGCTGTAATGTCACTTTTGTGATGAAAAAAAAAAGCATGTGATATTTTAATACTGACATAAAAAGTCACCAGGCTAACCCCTGAATAGACTCAATGACTCTACCTGGAGTTGTTGAAAAGAAAGGTCAGTTACAAGAAGAAAAATATGGGGGAAAGTCTATTAGGTTGTTTCTTAAGAATTTTTAAAAAACACCAATTATGTCTGGTTTAGAAATTAAGTTGACTCATTTTGTAGCTTATATAATTTAATTGAGAAAGAAAACGAATACAAGCAGAATTTAAAGATTTTAGTAGGGGTTAAGTACTCGAGTACTCGAGATGATGACATGGGGGGAACAGGGCACTAACTCACCCAGGGGGAGAAGATTGGCTGTGTCTCCACAGCATTGGAGTGTGCATACAGACCCCACCATGATGCGCCCAACCAGGAGGGCAGCATAACACGTGGAGGAATCCATGAAAAGACTGGACTACAGGACTGACCCCAACCAGAACCAGCCTGACCCCCACCCTGGAAGTGTGTGCTGCAGTGAACGACCCCAGACCTTCTGATGCGGGAAAAGGAACCGACCTACCATACTCAGATGGAAGCAAACCAAGAGGGACAAAGAGAAAGGGGCAGTCGGCTTGGACTCTACATGGGCACACCACGCCCAGAGGATGCGGTTCCTGCATGGAGCTGCTGGGGCCCAGAGAGGACTGTGGGACTACCAACAACTCAAGACATGTTGCCCCTAACTGGAGCATACGGAGACAGGACAATAATGGGGACACATAGTGGGGAGACAGTGTGGGAATGGAGCATAACAGATCAGCAATTGGAGTAAAGCCGAGCCACGGAGCCCCTCAGGAGCTCCAAGAATGGACTTTGGGCGAGGAGGGGCAGCCCCCAGATCTCCCTCAGGACCAGTGGGGAGGTTCCCATGGGAACCAGCAAACAGACCTGCACTTATCTAGGGTCTTTTTTCTGTTTTGCTCTTCTTTCACCTTTTTCTCTTCCCTTTTCTTTCTTCAACTGTAGGTTTTCTTATTGTTCAGACTAGGACATGGACGGGCTGCCCAATTATATGGGTTGGACCATGGGAAGGAAGCCCGGGGAGAAGGCAATGGGGCCAATGGCCCCAGAAGGTAGTGGTGGGGGGGGAGGTGTGGAGAAGGTGGGGAGAAGGGTGTGGTGAACGGTCAGTGTCATTGACAGGGGAACAACTAGGGAAGCGGAACCAGCATCTAGGAGAGGGTGGAGATCCTGTGAGAATTCGAGTCAACTAGTGGAGAGGAAGCACTAAGAGGTGGAAGAAGGGGGAACGTGATGGTCGGGCAGGAGGAGGGAAAAGGAAACAGAGACAAGCTCTAGGAAGCAAAGGCATGGATAGGGAGATTAACAGAGGTGTCCACTTATGTAAATACATTAATCCATAACAATAGTGGTATTGGCCTATGTACATATATTTATAAGGCAATACACTGAGGCTGCAGACAGGCCTTGGACCTCAGCTCATCCCGCCCCCCTCAATACAAGAACACGTTGTTCTAACAAATTGGCATTCTGCGATGTTTCCCCCTCTCCACCACCCCCATCCGCCCCAATTGCTGAAGACAAAACGGGTGCATTAGCAGATGTGGTGAAGATAGAGGATGGTGCCCAGCTATTAAAAGATATAGCGTCTGGGGTCTTAAAGGCTTGAAGTTAAACAAGGGGCCATCCAACAGTGAAGCAACAAACCCACATGGAAGAAAAATACCAGATGGTGTGATCTTGAGGTGTTGAGACTGGGCAAGAGGCATCAGAAGATTCACAACAAACAGCACACAAACAAACCAAAATGCATTGGTCAGAATGGAGGGGGATTGGAGTGGAGACCCAAAGCCCCTCTATGGACAATGGAGCATCCCCCCACAGAGGGTTAGCAGGGAGGGGGTAAGTCAACCAAGGTGCAATAGAGCACTAATGAGTCTCACAATAAACCTGTTTCCCAGAGGTCTCCTCCCCCCGCCACCCCC